AGTTTTATTCTGTTCTCAACTCTTCCATTTGTTGATTGAGTTCCGGTGATGCTGCTAGGGAGTGGGGTGTCCACTCACTCAGGCACCCCTCTAGTCACCAGAATGGAGGTTCACAGACAGTGAGAGACCAATGAACAGATACATAAAAAAGAATGTCCACACCTTTATCTCCGTGGTTATGTCAGTTGTCCGTGGTGGCTCTGATCCTTCCCTATTGGTCTTGCCTAAGATAGCGGCTCTGGGAGCAGCTGAGCGCCTTGGATTAATAAGCACTGGATTTCTTGCTTCTGCAACAAATTCCTCTGGCTGTAAGCTTTCCAACTTTAAATATTCCTTTATATGTGGTTCAGAGTTCTGGGACCATCCCTTGAGCCTGCTTGATCTGGTATTCTGTTTTGTTGCTGAAGGAGCTCCTCACTGCACTTCTACTGATCCGCCATCTTGTTTGTTCTCCCCAACTGATTTTTTTTTTTTAATGCTTTATTGTGAGTTATGTGATAGTTTTTACATGAGAGAACATTAGCTTTACATTGATCCTATCGTATATTGTTTCACTGCCATGGTTACAGTCCACTCCATGCATCATCAACCAACCAAAGGGTATACCCTACAAACCTGCCCCCTGGTCTTTAGCGCACAGCTCCTCTCTTTTTCTGGGTCTAGAGTCTCCAGCCACGCCATCTCTCCACGTCGTCGTCTCTGCCTCCATCTCTGGCATCACTGCTTCTCTGGGCAGGGTCCTGCACTCTGCTCTTCTCCCTTGATGGTCCAAGGGACCTCTGCTCCTAGACTGAAAAGTCACCCACTCCCCTCATTTTGCTATAAAATGTCTACCTTTACGTTTCCCAACTTCACAGTCAGTCCTGATAGTAATCATCTACTATTGGAGTCCTGGTGTGGTGCTGTGGGTTGATATGCCAGAGTGCAAAGCCATCTGAACTGCAAGGTCGGCGGTTCAAGCTCACGAGCTGCTTCTCAGAAACCCTATACAGGGTTGCCATGTGTCGGAATTGACTTAACAGCACTTAACAACAACAACAACAACGTTGTGCCACGTGAGTGCCATCCCCCTCTCCTTTCATCATCGCTGCCCAG